ACCATAATACACTTTTCCATAGGAAAAATGATGGCATGTCACTTATTGAAATGAAAATTCTTTATCCTTGGTGCATAAAGGCAAATGTTTTCCAATTTTTAGTGTAATACATTTTCAGTATTAATTTTATCACAAAATTTTACTTTGTCACCCTCTCCATCTGCTTATATCATTCTCCTTTATTTCAATTTTTCTTCTTTTTTTAGAACTTTTTAAACATTTTATAGTTATCACATATTTATTACTTGGATGATGCAGATTTCTAAACTTTCATTCTAATTACTAAAATGAATTATTTTCAGAAGTTTTCTCCTCCTCTTTGTGCCCAGGATGCTTTCTTTTCCAAGTGCTGTATTGTGTGTACACTTGTTATTAGTTAATTTGAAAATCACTTAGTATGTTGCCTGTCTTATGCAATTCTGGTGTAACAAATGAATTAGATATTCGTCTTACTTTAGATTCAGTCCCTCAGACATGCAAACAGGTAGAATTTGTAAAACATTAGAATCCTCAGGGTGCACTGTGAACAATCTCTTCCTGATTCGATTTGTTAATGTATTAGTTGTAGGGAAAAACAGTTAAAAGACACAGTGAGCTAATGTAGCTTCAAGTTCCTAACTCCTGTTATTTTTCTTGTGAGATCATCTGCTCATGGTGAATCTCTATTGGTAGAATCAGTGATAGAACTAATGACAGTTCTATTAAACAGTACACATTAATTCTGTAATTTCTAAAAATAAGTTCAGTAGAATGTTTTAAAGCAGGACACGTTTGGTATAAAGATAGCGCATTTTTTTTAATTGGTAAGTATTATTTCTGAACGAAGATGAAAAAACAGGAATAAGAAAAGGCTTTTTAAAATCTGTTCACCACTTTTGGGTTGGCAAGCACTGTGTTTCCAATGGCCATGGGTTTGCTGAAATACCATATTGACTTTTAACACCTTTGTTGGCTTATAGTTATGGAAGATGGTGTGAATGACAATACCAGTTGATATCCAAATAACTATTTTTTGTATCCATTTTTCTAAAATTAGGACAATTCCCTGCCTCATTGGGGGAATGAGTTAAGTGCAATTTTAACCTTTCAAAATATCTGGTGTCAACCACTTTATGAGAAACACAACGTACCAGGAATTTTAATGGAAGAAAGAATTTTGTGTTGGAATAAGCTAAAGTTTCACAAGAAGACCTTAACAAAGTACTTGGGGACCTGTTTCACTAGCAATGATAGGAAAGAGGAGTAAAGAGAGGAAAGAAGGAAAAGAGAGAGGGAGGGTGGAAGGAAAAGAAAGGGAAATAGAAGAATAGGATTAATGAGTTTATGAATGAGTAAGTATCATCAAATATACCCCTGTCTTTGTTGTGAAATACGTGTGATGTTGACTCTCTTCTATTTTTAAAAAGATCTAACTCACCCTTTCAATATTTTATTGCATCCCTAGCAATTACTAGTAACATCAGTCATAAATATTTCTTTACTCAATAAATATTTGTTGAACACATACTATTTGCTGGGTACTGTGCTAATTACTGAGACTACTTCAATAACTAAAGGAACGAAAAGATATGTTTCATGAAAAGTGAAGTAAGGAAACAGAAAGTGAGCTCAAAGACCGTGAAGAGAGTGAAAATGTGGCTGAAGGGATATGCTATTTGGAAAATGCTACAGCACCTCTCATTGCACTTGGCAAGATTGAGCACAAGCATCTGTTCCTTCATCGCTGACTCACAAATCAAAGCAATTCCCAAAGCATAAACACAGGGATATACGTTTAGGTACACATCCTATGCCGCAGGATAGATTTCTCAGTCTTTTTTTTTTATTTTCATTTATGTCCATTAGTTGGACGCTAATTACTTTACTTTAAAGGAAACAATAAATCCTATCTCTTAGGGTTTTGATATTTAAGTTAGATAATGAACCTGAAAGGCAAACCACAGTGTCTGACATTGAGTAAAGCTCAGTAAATATACCAACTTCCTTCTTTTCCAGTAAATCCTACCTCTCCTTTAATGTCCAGGTCTGTGACTTGTTACTGTTTGTTCTTTTCTCCACATCGGTTCAATGATGCAAGCTTCTAGAAAATTCACTTAATGACGTATTTTCCTGGAGACAGTCATTATTTCTCCCTATTTCCTGGAGTCATATTCTCCTAGCCACATTGATGCTCAGAGTAATGAAAGGACCCAGATGGAGTGCCGAGATAAAATATTATTTTCATTTCCCTAATTAATAATAATATTAAGGTCTTTATATATGTATTAGCTATTGGATATCTTATTTCTGAGTTGGATCTCCAAGATTTTCTCATTCTTTATTATCTATTTTCTTAATGATTTAAAGAAACTTCTAACATATTCTGCATTTGAGTCCTTTTTCAGAAATATGCATTGCAAATACAGCTTATCAGTCTGTGCTTTGACTTTCAAAACTCTTAGTGGTGATTTATAACAAACACAATTTAAAAATATATTTTCATGTTCATAAGCAACTGGCTTGGATATTTAGTTTGTTTTCTTTAAACTCTATAAATTTTGTTTGTTTGTTTGTTTGTTTGTTTTACCTTGGTGGCTTCTGCTGCTTCTGATGTGAAGTTATCAGCTCAGTTCAGTCGCTCAGTCATGTACTACTCTTTGCGACCCCATGGACTGCAGCACACCAGGCTTCCCTGTCCCTCACCAACTCCTGGAGCTTGCTCAAACTTAAGTTCATTGAGTCAGTGATGCCATCCAACCATCTTATCCTCTGTATTCGCCTTCTCCTGCCTTCAATCTTTCTCAACATCAGAGTCTCTTCCAGTGAGTCAGTTCTTCACACAGGTGGTCAAAGTATTGGAGTTTCAGCTTCAGCATCAGTCCTTCCAATGAATATTCAGGACTGATTCCCTTTAGAATTGACTGGTTGGATCTCCATGAAGTCCAAGGTACTCTCAAGAGTCTTCTCTAACACCACAATTCAAAAGCATCAATTCTTCTACACTCAGCTTTATTGTCCAACTCTCACATACATACACAACTACTGGAAAAACCATAGCTTTGACTAGATGGACCTTTTTTGGTAAAGTAATGTCTCTGCTGTCTAGCTTTGTCATAGCTCTTCTTCCAAACAGCAAACATCTTTTAATCACTCTTAGTGATGTTTCCCAGAATACAATGTCTTGCAAACATCTGTCAAAACCAGAGTGGTGGACTTGCAGAATTCCTTATTCAAATTTATAGCTTTCCTCATAGCGTTGCTCCTGAATAAGGAGATTGCTTTATAGGAAGTCAAGTGTAGCAGTGAGTGGAAGTGCTTGCTATGAGCAAACAGGTTATGGAATGGGTAATGGAAGAAGTCATTATAAATGCCAGCTATAATGTGGTCATTTACAGGAATGAGAACAATATACTTATGAAAATTTGTTTTTCATTTTGATATGAATATTTTTATGTGTTAAATTAACCAATTTTTAACTCCCCCCTCCCATTTTCCTGCATGTAGTAACATAAGGAAGATATGTTAACATAACTCAATCTTATATCTTATTTTATCTCAGTAGCGAAGATACAGGATTCAGTGGGAGAGTGTGGCTAGCTAGAAGATAAAATAACATCACCTACAAATGGATTAATGAACTTGCTCTAATCTTTGAAGGATAAGGTTAAGAGGTTTTGGGTTGAATGAGGAATTACTGCATCATAATAGCAAGAAGTGTGGTGCTGGAGAAGACTTTTGAGAGTCCCTCAGACTGCAAGGAGATCAAAGTAGTTAATCCCAAAGGAAATCAACCCTGAATATTCATTGGAAGGACTGATGCTGAAGCTGAAACTCCAATACTTTAGCCACTTGTTGAGAAGAGCCAGCTCATTGGAAAAGACCGAGCCTGATGCTGGGAAAGATTGAAGGCAAAAGAAGAGGGCAGCAGAGGATGAGACAGTTGTATGGTACCAGCAAGTCAATGGACATGGATTTGAGCAAACTTGGGAGATAGTGGAAGATAGAGGAGCCTGGTGAGCTGCAGTCCATGGAGTCACAAACAGTCAGAAATGATTTAGTGACTGAACAGCAACAACAACATTAGCAAGAAGCATAGCTTTTCAATCATCCTTATTCAAAAGTGGTTAAAAGAGTACAGATGGATGACAAGTTAACAAAGAGGGTACTGTAGCAGCTTTGATCTATCTTAACTAACTGGAAACATCTTTCCCAGAATGTGCTTTTATATTGTTCAGACTTAGGGTTGGCCACCAAAGGAACTTGTCTAACATTTGGAAGGTCATTGTGATGAAGCAGCCAGTTTTTATGTTTGGGTTTTGGTGCAGGGCTCCAGGGACTATGTTTAATCATACATGTTTCTGCCGATCTGATAGCTCTTCTTATTGTTGACTCACAACTCCTTCACTTCCAACCAAATCTCCTCATCTTTCTTTGTCTTGGGCCAAGTATGTATGTAGCATGATGCCAAATGACACCTACTTCTCCTAAGGTCGCCTACTACTGTGAAATGAGGGAGGTGAGATGTAGCCAAGTTTTAGTGTGTCTTTGTGGGCTCCACTATCTTCATAGTTCTAGTTTGTCATTTGAGTCACAGTTCATCCATGCTTCAGTCTCTATCCAATGTTCTTCTACAAATATTACTCCAATGACTAACACTAAATTCAGTCTCAACACCAGATACTAAGATAAGAGCTTTGTATACACTCTTCCACCAGACCTAGCAATTGTCTGAATTCTAATCTTTATAACTAATTTCTTATTCAACACCACTAGTGGTTCTGCTTCTCTGATTGCACATTAAGGGACAAAAGTCTAAGAAGAAAGGACTAAGGAAATTATTTTCATGATGATTCACGATAACTATACCCAGATTTGTGATGTGAGTGTATTTTAGGTAAACTGTCACTTTTATGGAGCAAGTTTACAGCTTTAGACAACTTTGCACATCTTCTATACTATTGACTTAAAGTCAAGAATTCAAGAGGAGAACGTATTAGTCGACAGTCACTCTGGACATCTGCTTCCAAGTGACATCAAAGAAGCTTTTATTTAGAATTAAATCCTCTGATCCAGACTACAGATGAAGCAACCGCAAGACTACCATTTCTTGTCTGGGGTCTGCAGGTGTGCATTTCAGCTGGGGTCCTTGCAGCAGGGGGGCTCTCGTTTATTTAGTTCTGGGGGTTTTGTTCAGCTTTTCTATTACTTCAAGCACTGTGAGTCCCAGAGAGCACAGAAGTACTTTGCAGAATCTTCCAGCTCTAAGGCTGGAATGGTGAGGCTGATGGATTTATGAGCTTTCTGGAAATTTACAGAATAGCGGCCATCCCTTGCATTCCCATCATCTGAATACTGACGAATAAGATAAGTCATCTGTCCACTGGGAAGCTGCTTGTACCAAAAAATGTAGTACTTGTACATGCCCCAACTTGTTTCATACCGACAGTTCAGGGTGACTGTCTTCCCCACTTCACTGAGTATGTGTGGTTGGTCTTGAGTAACACTCTGGGCCACACCAGATCCTGTGGGGGAAAAAACACAAGAAAACAGAGCTGAAATAGTGAACAAAATAATGTAGAAATTAGGCTAATTTTGGACCCAAATATTTACAAACCAAACTGAAATCCTAAGATGCTTGCTTTTCTCCAATCCTCCTTTCCTCCCCAAGTCCCTGTGAAGCACCACACGTCTGTGTGCAGTCCTTTCACCCTGAACACTCACACCCATGCTTGGAAGCATCCCTACCAGAGAAGGTGAAGGCCAGGAACACCCAGAGCAGACGGGAGAGCGGCATGAGGCATGAATTCCCCAGCACAAGTGTGTCTAATTCTGCCTCAAGCTGAGATTGCGGTGTCTGTAAGTGCCCGGCAGCACATTTACACAGCGCCTGGTTCCTGTGCGGCTCCTCCCCCAGACAGGAAGTGCCATTTGTCATGTTCCTAGACCAGCTGGTCTGTGCTCAGAAGGAAAACAGTTTGGCTCACCACAAACTTTTACTTTGTCTACTCGTGTTTCCCTGGTCATTAAATTTGGCAGATCCTGGAAAAGGGCTTGAAAAAAGCAATTAATATTAAAGATTTGAATTGAGGGTAACTAAAGATTAAACAAGTTGACATACACTGGTAATTATTCAGTAAAATTATTTGCCATCCTGTTTAAGATATAATTTTGGATAGCCTATGAAACTTTCTTGAAATCTACTGATTGGTCATTCATTTAGCCTATACTTACTTTTCTCCATCCAGAATCTACTGTTTTAAAACATTCACAATCTTAGGCATTCTGGGAGAAAAGCAATCTTATCAAAATAATCAATGTATCTCTTTTGTTTTTTCACTGAGTTCCAGGGCTCTACTTAGATTTTTCAATAAATAAAATTACTGTGACATGAAATGATTTTAGAAAATCAGCCCATCTGAATTTCAGAGCCTATTCAGTGGTTTATATTTAAATGAAATTATAACCAGAATAAAATATTATTCTTTTGAAATCTGATATTGACTTCATATCTATCAAGAAATTGATATTAATATAATTTTACAAAAATATCATAGCCTTATACATCAATTTTTACATACACTCTTAGGTTTTCATACTTCACTCTAAGAAATTTTATCACATGTATAAGTTCTTGTACCACCACTGAAATCATGACACAAAATTGCTTCATCTCTCTAAAGAAATACTCTTTGAATACCCTCCCCATCCCTGCAACTCTTTATGACCCTGCTAACTACTCATCTCCTTTTCATCTTTATATTTTGTGCCTTTGAGAATGTAGTTTAAGCAAAATCACACCATGTAAGCATCATAATAATCCAATAAGTGTAATCATATACCATGTGGCCTCTGAGATTGACTACTTTTTCATTCAGCATAACATCCTGAGATCCATCTAGGCTATTGTTGTTTAGTCTCTAAGTCCTGTCTGACTCTTCTGTGACCCCATGGACTGTAGCCCACCAGGCTCCTCTGTCTATGGAATTTTCCAGGCATGAATACTGGAGTGAGTTGCCTTTTCCTTCTCCAGGGGATTTCTTGACCCAGAGATTAAACCCACATCTCCCGCTTGGCAGATGGGTTTTTACCACTGAGCCACCAAGGAAGCCCCATCTATTGCACATATCAGTAGTCTGTATCTTTTTAATCACTACAGACTGTTACCATCTTATGATGTTCTGACTCTGGATTTCTTTACCTTACAGTGGAAAGACAGTGATGAACTTTCAGTAGAAAGTAGAAACCATACTTTGAATTTTAAATATGATCTTTCCCCATGCTAGCAACATGTGGTATAACATTCCCCGGTGATTCTGGGCAGCAGCAGTGAGCTGAGCTCCTGGCCAGTGCTGAGATCAGGAGGGTAAACAACAGACACTCTTACATTCACTCTGTACTCATACAACCATTCTGTTTTTAACTTTTAGTGTGTGTGTGTTAAGTTACTGCAGTTGTGTCCGACTCTTTGAGACAGTATGGACTGTAGCCCACCAGGCTCCTCTGTCCATGGGAGTCTCCAGGCAAGAATACTGGAGTGTGGTGCTGTGCCCTCCTCCAGGGGATCTTCCTGATCCAGGGATTTAACCTGTTATCTCTTATGTCTCTGCTTTAGCAGGCAGGTTCTTTATCCATTAGAGCCACCTTGGAAGCCCCACTTTCAGTACAGTACTCAATAAATTATATGAGATTTTCAGCTTTTTAATATAAAATAGACTTTGTGTTAGATGATTTCACCCAGCTGTAGGTTAATGTCGGTGTTGAGCACCTTTAAGGTACACTGGGTTCAATTCAGTGGGTTAGGTATATTAGATGCATTTTCCATTTATGATCCTCTCAACTGAAAATGGTTTATTGAGACACAATTCTATCGTGAGTTGAGAAAAACCTATAAATAACATGGCATTTTACAGATGTATTACAAAATGGATTTATTTGTCTATTCACCCAGTGAAGAACATATGGCTGGTTTCCAGTTTTTGATCATCAGAAATAGAGCTGCTATGAATATTCAAGTACAGACTTTTGAATGAATATAAGTTTTTCATTTTTCAAGCATTAGTACCCAGGAGTGTGATTGCCAAGCTGTAAGGTAAGTGAATATTTAAGTTTAGGTGAAACTGCTGAACATTTAGTTTTCCAGAATGGCTGGACCATTCACCCACCAGCAATGCATGAGTGATCCAATTTCTCTGCAGTTTTGCCAGAACTTGGCATTGTCAGTATTTTTAATTTTAGCCTGTGAGAAATGTGAAGTGTTATCTCTTAACACAATGCAAATGCTTAATTTGCATTTCCCTAATTACTAATAATGCTAATCATCTCTTTATATTCTCATTTAATTACCAGATAGCTTTTTGGTAAAGTGTCTGTGTTAATCTTTTGTCCAGGTTTCAACTGGATTGTTTGTTTTCTTCCTGCTGAGTTCAGAGAGTTCATTGTATTCAGAATACAGTCTTTTGATGAAAATGTATTTACAAATATTTCCTGCCATACTGTGGTTTATCTTTTTCCTTCTCTTAATAGTGTCTTTTACAGCACAAACATTTTTAATTTTGATGAAATCTAAGTGATTTTTTTTTTTACGAATTGTGATTTTGGGGTCATGTCAAAAGCCTTTTTGTCCAAACTTGGGTCATGAAGATATTCTCTTTATGTTTTTCCTAAAAAATTTGCAATGTTACACTTTATACCAAGATGTATGGTTCACTTTGAGACTATACCCAAATTTTTGTATAAGGTATGATATTTAGGTCAAGTTTCAATTGTTTCCCAAGAATATCCAATTGTCCTAATCTCATTTGCTCATAAAACTATGTTACCACTCTAGAATTGAAAGCGACGCATGTACCCCAGTGTTCATCACAGCACTGTTTACAATAGCCAGGACATGAAAGCAACCTAGATGTCCATCAGCAGATGAATGGATAAGAAAGTTGTGGTATGTATACACAATGGAGTATTTCTCAGCAATTAAAAAGAACACATTTGAATCAGTTCTAATGAGGTAGATGAAACTGGAACCTATTATACAGAGTGAAGTAAGTTAGAAAGGAAAATACCAATAAAGTATATTAATGCATATATATGGAATTTAGAAAGATGGTAACAACGACCCTATATGTGAGACAGCAAAAGAGACACAGATATAAAGAAAAGACTTTTGGACTCTGTGGAGAAGGCGAGGGAGGGATGAAAGAATAGCATTGAAACATGTATATTACCATATGTGAAATAGATGACCAGTCCAAGTTCAATGCATGAAACAGGGCACTCAAAGCTAGTGCACTGGGACCACCCAGAGGGATGGGATTGGGGGGAAGTGGGATGGGGGTTCAGGATGGGGGACACATGTACACCCATGGCTGATTCTTGTCAATGTATGGCAAAAACCACCACAATACTGTAAAGTAATTAGCCTCCAATTAAAATAAATTAATTAATTAAAAAAAAACCACCTTGCTACCTCTATTGAATTGTCTTTGCATTTTGTCAAAAAATAAGCTTTCCTGACCTGTGTGGATCCACTTCTATACAATGACTCACTAACATAAACTTGTTAATGATGCTCTTTCATTCCCTTAGAATGTAACAGAACCTGCAGAATAGTTCTCTTTTTTATTTCTTATATTTATAATTTGTATTTTTTATTTTTTCCTTTGATAAGGCTACCTAGGAATATATCAAGTTTATTAATTATTTTAACAAAATTAACTTTGTATTTCACGGTTATCTCCATAGATTTCTTTGTATTTCACCAATTAGACATTTTATTATTTACTTGTTTCAGTTTACGTTGGGTTTAATTTGCTTTTCTATCATCTTTTCTTAAAAGCTTTGAGAGAAGTTTATCAACCTTTTTTCTTTAGTAATATAAGTATTTAAAAAGATAAATTTCTTTCTGTGTATTATTTTAGCTGCATCTCATACATATTTAATGTGCTCTCACATTTACTTTCAAAATATCTTCTAGCATCCATTGTAATTGTTTCTTTAACCTAGGGTTGTTTTAAATTATATATTTTAAATATATACCAACTATTTGGGAGTTTCTAGAGATGTCTCTTTGCACTTAATTTTCCATATCCTTTCCATTTTGGTCAAAAAATAAATTCTATAAAATGTCAGTTTTCCTAANCAATTTTGTTCAAAGAAAAAATTCTACATAATTTCAGTTTTCTTAAATGTATTAAGACTTTTTAAGCACAAACCAGTGTGTGTGTGTGTGTGTGTGTGTGTATTTATCTACATGGCAGGTGTGTCTGGAGCCTCGGCTGCAGGTCTGGGCACAGGCTGCAGGTGCCCGGGGAGCACCGTGCACTCGCTGCAGAAGCAGGCGCTGAGTCTCCAGGCTGGGAAGCTGTGATGGGCAGTGAGAGCTGCTTGGCACTCGTACTGAGGAAAACTGTGAGTCTTCCACCTTCCTTTTTATTCATAACTGAGCCTATGGCTATCAAGAATGCAAGGCCTTTACCAGGGTATTGACTGTACCATGAGAAGTGTCAAATGTACGCCTCTCCTACAGTTCAGAATGGAAATCTCTCCTTCCTGGACTATCAAAGATTGAGGGCTCTGTTTCACCTGCTGTCGGTCACTTTTTTCCTTCCACCCACCCCTATTTACAGAGATAAAAAGCCATTAGGTCCACAAATTAATATCTACTTCTTTAAGTTCCTATCTGCATGCATTTGTCCATTCCCCAATTTTCTCATTCCCCCTAATTAATGAGATATCTTAGTTTTTGTCCACCACAACCCACAGTATAACTGAAACCACAGAAGTAAAAATGATGCTCCCAGAATCTTGTCCATTGTTTATGGCACCAAAGGTCAGTGACAACTCAAGTTCC